AATGTTAATTATAATTTATATACTAATCTTAATTCTAATCTTAATCATACCCTAATACTTATCATAATCGTAATACTAATACTAATAGTAGTCCTAATCATAATCGTAATCTTAATTATAATGCTAGTACTAAAATTAATCATAATCCTAATCATAATACTAATATAAATTCTAATACTATAGTAATCCAAATCATAGTAGGAATCCTAACCATAGTATTAATAATAATACTAATTCAAATAATATTAATTATAATCAAAATTCTAATGCTAATACTAATTACAATCTTAATTCTGATTTTGCATCATTTTTTTTCTTTTTTGCAATGATATATTATTTTGCATCAAAAACATTTATATTGAATCTCTCAACCTTCATATCAAATTCTTTTTATGTGGTAGATGAAGCATACAAAAAACATATTAAATATATTAAAAATTAATACTTAATTAGATTATGAAACTAACTTTAAAGTTATTTAAAATATTATAAGTGTATAAGCAAATATTAAAACGTAAAAAGAATACTAATTTTATTAATAAGACAAATTACGAAAATTCCCTTGAAATTAAATTACAAAAAGGACCCTACCCTTCGGCAATTACCAAAATTCCATGACGTTTGTTTCTGTCTTACACGACCTCTCTTGTGGTGTGTTTTTTACGGAATTTTTTTATTCATTGTAATATCCCAAAAAATGCGGATTTTACCCCTGCACACGTGGCATTTCTTTATCCTACATTTTAAATACAAAAATTACCCTCATGACAGGTAATGGTAATACTAAAAAGTTGTGAACGTGTTAAGTAAGAAGAATACAGATTACGTGTAATGTCCCCTTGAGGGTAATTTTTTTGCTTAAAAAGTGCCATAAAGAAATGTCGTGTCTGCAGGGTAGAATCAACATGTTTCTGGAAATATTCCATGTAATAAAATATTTCGTGAAAAATCATACCTTAAGGGGTCGGCATAAGACGAAAACAAACATCAGGAAAATTTTGGTAATTACAAATATGTAGGGATGTTTTTCTTAATTTAGCCTAAGTTCAGGGGGTTTTCGTAATTTATCCCTGTTAATATACAACTTAAATTGATTTACACATGTGACCATATATTAGAAACTAACATAAATGCTAATGCTGATGAAAACATGTCGAATTTCAAGTAAACAAAAGTCACTATAAAATGCTTATAAAAATAATAAATGTAACACCCCGCATTTTCGGTAAAATAATATTATTTTATTTTACCAAATTTATGTGCATATTTGTGAAATTAGAATTTATAATAATTCTTGCATGGTTAGTATTAGGTGAATTATGTGAAATATGTGATTATGTGAATTCTTGTGTGCATTATGTGATTATGTGAAATATGTGAAATATATGAATTATGTGATTATGTGAATTATGTGCTTAGGAAATATTTCGAGATATTATTTCGAAATAGATTATTTTCATGAATTAGGATTTTATTCTTGCATGTGATTTTAAATGAGCATTTCATCATATTTATGCATGCACAAAATTTTAGAAAATGAATTTTATCATGCATTTTAGGATTTTTAATTAATGTCGAAAGTTAGAAAAATCCTCCCCACATTTTCTTAATTTCCGGACATCACACACACACACACACATGATTTTTAAATTGCATATTAATTAGTATTAGACATGCATTGGTGTGGTTGTACTTTGAGCATAGAAAGAAATACTCAAGCCTAGTTCCCTACCCTATAGACTAGGCATGCTTTTCACTCCTTTAAGTAAGACCAAAGGTCTTCTTCTTCTCCTCCCTTCCCCTTCATTTTTCGGCAGCCACCACCACCACCATAACCACCACCTTCTCAAGCTTGAACCACCCTAGAACCACCACCACCTCATATTTTCGGAAATTGCAAAATCACCCCCACAAAAGATGTATTTCCCTTTCTTCTCCATTGGCTTTGAACTCTCAAAAAACTCTATAAATACCTCCAATGCCCAAGATCAAAATACACTCTCCACTTCCAAGCTCACTATCTATAAGTTTAAGGTCTCCTTCTATTTCAACAAAGGAGAATTTTCGGCCAAGCTTAGGAGTAAGCTTCTCCTCCCTCTTCTTTCTTCTTCTTTCCCGAAAGAGCAAAGCTCTTCCTCCTCCCCTTTCTTTTGATTTTCTTCTTATTTTCTTAATGCCTAATCTAACTCTTAATCTCTTCTTGTATTAGAGAGAAAAGAGCTAACAAATCCTTCCCCTAAAGAGTATAGGTGAGAATTCTTGAATTCTTGCTCAAACCTACAACACCACTAGTATTTTCGGTTTTTATGTGTTTTTATGTGTTTCTATGTGTTTTTATTGTTTATTATGTGATTATATGTTTTAGATGATGATTGCATGTTAGTGTTTTGAAAAGATGACTTTGTTCTTGAAGTTCTATGATTTTTCGAAAATTGGGGAAAAATGTTTTAAATAGCTTATTTGGCTTAATTAGTGCCTTGCATGTGTTGATCTAGTATTTGATTGTGGATTTTTGAAAAGAAAATGAATTTTTGGCCTAGCCATGAAACTTTCGAATTTTTGGGGAAAAATGTTTTAAATGGCTTATTTGGCTTAATTAGTGCCTTGCATGTGTTGATCTAGTGTTTGATTGTTGATTTTTGAAAAGAAAATGAATCTTTGACTTAACTAAGGAACTTTCGAATTTTTGAGGTAAAAATGCTTGAAATTGCTTATGTGGTTTATTTTGTGTTTTGCGTGTGTTGATCTTGTGTTGATTGATGTTTTAAGGCCTTGCATGTTAAGATTGGTGATTGATTGTTGATCTAAGGTCTTGCATGTTAAGATCTAGTGATTGATGGTTGATCCAAAGTCTTGCATGTTAAGATCTAGTATTTTCTATGAAAAATGGTTTAAGAACTAAGAATTTGTGCTAATTTGATTTAAAATACTCTTGCATGTGAAGATCTAGTGTATTTGCTTGAATAAATGTAAAGATGGAAGTCTTGAATTTATTCTTGTAAAAATGCTAGATCTAGTGAACGTTGATGTTAGATTGTTTTTGCATGTTAAGATTTCGGTTATTTCTATGTTTTTATGACTAAATGATTTTGTGAAACTTTATGTGTATTTTCTATGTGCTCCTATGTGCTCTTGCTTGCTTATGTGAATCATTGGGTGTGAGGATGAGAGAAGAGTAAGTAGAAGGGTGCATGGGTGGGTGCATTAAGTGTCATGAATTTTTAAAAAGATAAAACTATGTTGGAAAGTCTTTCGAGGTTACGGTAAATTTCTCGGGTACGGCGAGCCGGTATCGTAGGGCCTAGGGATGGTTTGATGCCACATAGTTAGACATGGTTCGAAATATATGGGGTTATTTACCGGTAACTTAGATTGGCTCTTCCGAGGGATTCCCGACAATTTTTCATGTCATGCATGTTGCATTATGGTGTTGATGATTTAGGGGGAAAATCTCACTCTATGGTCTTGGGATCGTAGGGTTATAAAGGTGGGAAATTCCTTCTATAATCTTCAATACGTGTCATGGCATAGGGTTATAAAGGTGGGATATTCTCACTCTATGGTCTTGGGATCATAGGGTTATAAAGGTGGGAATTATCTCACTCTATGCGTGTGGCAATTATGTGAATGAAGAACGCCGACGAAAAAGGGAAGTATATGATTGTTTTACTTCATGTTGTATGTTCATATGTATGTATATATATGTATAGATATATATATATTCTCTATGTGCTATGTGTATTCGATATTACTTCAAGATTCTTATTGAGTCCTCAAAGACTCATATAGGTGTTGTATGTTTGTAGGTATACCCGATTTAGGGCCCGAGGAGTGAAGTTGGGAATCGAGCTCGAGAATCGGAAGGAGATCGTATGGAGGGGTTGTGGATAGTGTTGGCTCTGAATTTAGTTATGTGGTTTTATTTGTATAATATGCTTGTAAAAACTTTTGATACGGTTTTAGGTATTTTCTACCGTTCGCTTCCTCCGATCGGTGGAAATTATTAAAAGACGACGTGTGTAATAGTAATTAGGATTACCCTATTTTGGATAATTAATCGGTAATCCGTAGCCTTTTGTAAGCGAAAGCAAATTTTCACTATTTATAGGCATGCATGCTTTCGACTAGAATTTTCTTCGTGTTTTGTCTCCATGTTCTAAAATTATTTTCATATAGGTGCTCTGCTTAGAAAATCATGAAATTTTAGGAGTCTCTGCATCTCTCTGTGCTCATCATTTTGATAGGTCTTGTACATGATTTGGGTAAGTATTCATTTAGTTATGATTTATTTCTCACTACTGCATTGAAACAGGGCCATTCGGGTGTTTTCTGGTCTAACTGGAGTTTTACTTACCCAAATGCCTTGTTTCTACTTGGAAAATGTTTTAAACTTATTTTTCTGCCTTGGAGTAAAATTTGGTAGTTTTTGGGTCAGTGAGGAATTTATTGTGAATTTTCAAAACCCCCTCCCCTGTTCTGGATTTTAAACCGAGTGACTGTGCCATTTTATTTATTTCTCCTAAATGGCCATACATATTTCAAAACCGTTTTAAATGAGTGATCTAGACCCATGAGTAGTTTAAGAGAAATTAATTTTTAAAGCTTCTGCATTGAATCCGTCCGCATTTGCATTAAGTCCATTATGCCTAGTTGTTTCCTAGTCTTTCATGTAGCATGCATTGGTGTTAATTGGTCGATTAGGGTTTAGCAAGTTGTGCCCTCTCTCCCTCTGATTTAAAAAGAAAAAAATTCACGTAAATTTATATCCACAAAAATCATGTTTTCAAAAGTCTTCCGCTGAGATTATATATAATAAGGGTAATCGAGAGAGGGGTGTCACAGCAAACGTGGTATCAGAGCAACGATCCCGGAAGCCTCCATACGACCTAAAGATCTTCACGATTCTCAAAGCACGACTCCAACTGAGCACTCGGGCAGGTATATGTTTTATGTGAATTTTATGGCTAATGTGAAATGTTTGTATATGTTTAAGTATTAAAATGTCTGGAGCAAGAACTCGAGCTCAAAATGCCGCTAACGCTCCTCACAATCAATCTCGTACCATCCAAGACCTCACCGCCCTCGTCCGAGAACAAAATGAACAAATCAACCGCCTTGTTAACCTTCAAAACCAAAACCCTCATCCACCTCCTCCTCCTCCTCCCCAACCTAGAATTACAGCCCCACAAGCCACCTACGAGCGATTCTTGAAAATGCATCCTACCGAATTCCACGGCGGCCCAAGTCCAACTGTTGCCGAAGAATGGATCAAATCCCTCGAAGATATTTTCGAGTACATGGTGATGAACGACAGCGACCGAATCCATTGCGCACTATTCTTGTTGAAAAACGAAGCCCGGAATTGGTGGGAAGGCGCAAAGAGTGGAATCGATCTAGCAAATACCACTTGGGAAGCTTTCAAAGTTCTTTTCTTCGAAAAGTACTTTTCCAAGAATGTTCGAGCACAAAAGCTTAAGGAGTTTCTCGAACTCAAACAAGGAAACCTAACCATTGCCGAATTCACACGCCGTTTCGAGCAAGGAAGCCTCTACGCGCCTTTCATATCCAAAGACGACACCGAAAAGATGAATCACTACCTAAGAGGCCTCAACCCGATAATCAAGCGCGACGTTCGACTAACCTCTGCCTCTACTTTCCGCGGAGTAGTGGACAAAGCCTTAGAAGCCGAACAAGACGAGATGGAAATCCGACAATGGAGACCTCCTCACGATGCCTCTTCTCGACCATGGAAGAAACCGAACCTCAACAACTCCAAGGGAAAGCAACCGATCAACCGAGCAACCGTGACCCCGAGCAACAAGCCCTTTTGCCCTAAATGCAAGCGAGAACATTCAGGCGATTGTGTTACCGGAACTGACCATTGTTTTCGATGCAAGAAGCCCGGACATATGGTCCGAGACTGCCCTATCGCCCCGAGACAAGTGCCGGGACGAGTATTCGCCATGACAAGAGACCAAGCCGAAGCTGACCCGTCAATGATCGCAGGTACCGTTAGTGTGTATAATAATTCCGTGTATGCCCTCATCGACTCCGGATCAACTCACTCATTCATCTCAAGTACCCTCGTTGCCGAACTCCGCCTAGTCCGTAGTCAAGCCGATGCCTTGTTTAGCATACTTATTCCTTCCGGTGATGAACTTAAATAAAATTTCATCATCAAAGATTGCCCTATTCAAATTCATAACCAAACCCTAGCTTCCGATCTGATCATTCTACCCATTAAGCATTTCGAAATAATTCTCGGAATGGATTGGTTATCAAAATTCGACGCCCAAATCAATTGCGCTCACAAAACCGTTCGTTTCTCCCTACCGAATGGAAGTTTTATCAAATTCCGAAGCTCGTACAATCCGTCGATTCCTATCATTTCCGCCATCAAAGCGAGCAAACTTATTCAAAAAGGGCATCTATGCCATTTGGTCGACATAGTGGAAGCTCTCAACGAAGATAAAGCCGACATTTCCAAAGTGCCAACCGTTTGCGATTTTCCCGATGTCTTTCCCGAAGATCTCCCCGGTCTTCCGCCCGATCGTGAAATCGAATTCGAAATTAATTTGATCCCCGGTTCCGCTCCTATCTCGAAGGCACCTTACCGCATGGCGCCGTTAGAGCTAAAGGAACTCAAGGACCAAATTCAAGATCTTATCAACAAGAAGTTCATCCGCCCTAGTTTTTCCCCATGGGGTGCTCCGGTACTCTTCGTGAAAAAGAAAGATGGAACCCTCCGAATGTGTATCGACTACCGAGAACTCAACAAGGTCACCGTAAAAAACAAGTATCCATTGCCACGAATTGACGACCTTTTTGATCAACTTCAAGGCTCCACGGTCTATTCCAAAATCGACCTCCGTTCCGGATATCATCAATTGAAGATCAAGAAGGAAGATATTCCGAAAACCGCGTTTCAGACTCGCTACGGCCATTACGAATTTGTAGTGATGTCGTTTGGTCTAACCAACGCCCCCGCCGCTTTCATGGATCTCATGAATCGAATCTTCCGCAAATATCTCGATCAATTTGTGATCGTATTCATCGACGATATCTTGGTGTATTCAAGAAATGATGAAGAACATCGGAATCATTTGGAAATGGTGCTCCAAACTCTCCGAAAGAACCAACTCTATGCAAAGTTTTCCAAATGTGAGTTTTACTCACCCAAATGTCTTGTTTCTACTTGGAAAATGTTTTAAACTTATTTTCTGCCTTGGGATAAAATTTGGTAGTTTTTGGGTCAGTGAGGAATTTATGGTGAATTTTCAAAACCCCCTCCCCTGTTCTGGATTTTAAACCGAGTGACTGTGCCATTTTATTTATTTCTCCTAAATGGCCATACATATTTCAAAACTGTTTTAACTGAGTGATCTAGACCCGTGTTAGATGGTATGGTATTAATTTGGGGTCATTTGCATGAGTAGTTTAAGAGGAATTAATTTTTAAAGCTTCTGCATTGAATCCGTCCGCATTTGCATTAAGTCCATTATGCCTAGTTGTTTCCTAGTCTTGCATGTAGCATGCATTGGTGTTAATTGGTCGACTAGGGCTTAGCAAGCTGTGCCCTCTCTCCCTCTGATTTAAAAAGAAAAAAATTCACGTAAATTTATATCCACAAAAATCATGTTTTCAAAAGTCTTCCGCTGAAATTACATATAATAAGGGTAATCGAGAGAGGGCTGTCACAATAAATGGAAAAATAAAAATTAATTGGATTTTTGGCTAAATCAGTTGAATATATTGTGATTTAAAAAAAACATAGAGACATTATAAGTATTACATTATTATAAAATTTATAGAATAAATAATTGTATTTTAAAAATATTTTAAAAAATAAATTAACAAAATAAATATATTTTATTATATATGATGTGAAAATAGAAAATTTAAGAATATTTCACTAATTTAGATACCTAAATTTTAACTTAGACAAAAGAACTCATGTATTCCAATACCAAAAGATAGCGAGATCTATACAATGTTAAAATATTTAATAATCAATTATTTACGTTATTATACCCTAGGTTAATATTTTTATTTTCATATGGTTTAAAATTTTGATTTTAAAAATTAGTCAGAGTATTTGTAGCTAAATGGATTGTAGTAAATCTTGTATAATTACTCATATATTAAATTAGTAAAAAAGAAAAGACATATTCTTTGGTCGTACCATGTAAAATGTATTATATCAAATGATTTAATCTACAATAATTTTTTAATACAAATTCAAGTTTATGAATTAAAATATAAAATTCCCGTAACAACACCAGTCATCCAATTATAATAAGGCAAGATTTCAAATTGAATTTAATTAAATTCAAGAATAAATTTGTTTCGAGTTTTCAAGAATAAAAAAAAATTATTGTTTGAAGTTGTTTAGGTAATAACACGAATGACATGGAAATAATTAAATATAAATGGCAAGTGGTGATGACATGTTTTTTGATGATTTATTTCCACCAATCATTTTGCCACATGAGATGAAATTGAAGACATGTGAGTAATTGAAATTGCCAAATGTCAAGCAATTAGGTGTGGAATTCAAACTTTTATATATTATACAGATTATATTTTACTTTATGAGAAGCCATGTTGTAGCGTTAAAAGTCTATAATATATTTTTTAATCTGATGTTCTTTTTATTCAAAAAAAAAAAAAAACGTCCCCATTTCTTTGATTTACGAAAAATCCAAAACATTATGATTTTTTTTAGAACTACTGTGATTTTCGATTTTTTTTAAAATTCAAGAATCATGTAACGAAATCGATGTCAAGATTTTCAGAAGCAAAACGAATTGCGAACAACTCATGCAAAATTGCTTAGGCACATCCAGTGGCGAGGCCAGAAAGTTTGGTGAGGGGGGGCTTAAACACACGGGGGTTCGGGGGCAGCGCCCCCGAAAATTTTTTTGCTACGAAAGAAATTTGAGATGAAAATTCGATATGAATTTTTTTTCCTTCACTTTCAGAAGATAATCCCAAAACGAATCGCGAAAGCTAAATTGCTATGAAAATTTAAGAAACATGAATATCAAGTCGATTATCAAATTGACACAGAGAAGTTGTCAAATGCTAAAACGATCGTCGGTGGATGGCAATTTAACGGCTATTAGTGTGACTGTGAGAGAGAACAATTTTTTTTTTTTTCAAGAAATGTAATGAACTTGAGATATAGAAAATGAGAGCAAGTCATACATGGGGTGATAGGGGGCTTTGAGTAAGTGGACTAAAAATAAGTGGGCTTAAATGATATAATTAAATAGACTAAAAAATTAAATAGAATATATATATATATATATATATATATATATATATATATATATATATATATATATAATATAATTGAATAGACTAAAAAAAATGGGATATATATAGGATTAATTAAATAGACTAAAAAAATAAATAGAATATACATGGGGGCTTTGAGTAAGTGGACTAAAAATAAGTGGACTTAAATAATATAATTGAATTGACTAAAAAATTAAATAGAATATATATATATATATATATATATATAATAGTAAAAATTTGGGAAGTGAGGGGGGGCTTGAGTCCACCCTAGCCCTTGGGTGGACTCGCCCCTGGGCACATCCACTTTTTGCGATTTGACGTTGGTTAGGCATAAAATAAATAAATAATGGGCTATGTGTTATGAACACCTCAACCTAAATACTATAATTTACATCTCTATATTGCTTAGGCACATCCACTTTTCATTCCTATATTTCTTTTATTCCCTAAATACTATAATTTACATCTCTCTCTCTCTCTCTCTCTCTCTCTCTCTCTCTCTCTCTCTCTCTCTCTCCACCACTCTACTCCATAGTTCAGGGAGGTAGCGGCTATGACACTGGGGACGGTTATGGACGTAAGGAGGTGACAGCTATGGCGATAGCAATTCAAGAAGGTGGTGTGAGGTTAGATCGATGGTGGAAGGTGGTGACAATGACGACTAAGGTTTAACTTAATGGGCAACTAGATTTTGGTAGAAAGTATTTGTTGGTGGAATGGAGCTCTTGGCTTCTAAAGTTTGACGGGGACTGAAAATTATTGATTGTTAGGTTTGATGCGGTTGAAAGTTGTTGGCCGATAGAATTGAGAATAGTAAATCATCCTAAATTATAATACACCTTCGTATCACATAGTACATCATAGTATATTACAGTATGTTGTACTATATATGTATATACATATTATACATAGCTTACAACTGACTACTCTACATTTATCAAGAGAAGGTAATATAAAAAAAATGATTAAAAAACTTTTTTTATTAAATTAAAAAAAAAAAAATTCTTCTCATAATTTGCAGTATTATGTAGAACATAAGAAAAAAATAAACTTTTATAAAATTATGTAAAAAAGGCTAAAACGAAAAATAAGAAAGAAAAAAAGATACTGTAGAAATAAACAAATTAAAATGTCATATGCAAAAATTAAGATGTTAAATGCAAAATAAAAAATGATGAATGCATTTTGAATTTTACTTAGGCAAATTTCGAATTTGTGTGTGGATGGGCAGTTCTGGAAAGAATTTTATAAAGGGTGCGAAACAAAAATGTTTAGTTGAATTTGTCATTTAATCTTAATAAAGTTTTTGTCAACATGGGTCTCTATCTTAAATTCTCTAAAATAAACTGTTTCTATCGACTTTTAGCCGATAAAAATATGAAAGTACTTCTGTAAAATAAGCGGGCCAGAATAATAAAAAGGGATTATTTTGGAGAACCCTCTCATATTGAAAATATATATAACTAACCACCATGTTGTTTACACCCTAGTGCAAGCCACCTCCATTTGGATAATAATTTGATATATCCTCGGCAGATTTGAAGTATCCAGAATACTCTTTTAAATCAGTTTTAACCCTGCAAACTCATATCGGTCTCTATCTTCCTCTCTCAACTCCCATATCTGAATCCCGCCTCCATAGATCTCCAACCGGCGAAATTGTTTCCCGGAGTCGTAACTCTCTCTCCGTTGGTCAGAATTCGATGGTTTAACTACCGTTGGATTGCTCTCGCCGAGCTGTTTTTCTTGGCGATTTCATTCAGTTTAGAGCACTCGATCTATTTCTGCAATCATTTTACAGATGGTGCGTATTTCGACGACGGTAGGTCTTGCCGGAGGTGTAACTTGTGTTCCGGCAGTTGGAATTTGACGGGCTACCCACCGTCGGATTCCTCTCATCGAGATCTATATTTTGATGGTATTTTCGTTCATTTTATTGTTGTCATATTTATTTCTATAATTTTTTTCATTTGTGAGTGCGGAACCTTGTGCGGTTAGCGGCGGCTAGGGTTTTGGTAGCGGGTGCTTGAGGTGAGAAGTCATTGGTGGTTTAATCTAAAATTCGCAGCATTTCGCAGATATGGCCTTTCTCTCGATCTCGTAGTGTTTGTTGATTTTTGAGTGTTTTTATGTTTCTTCAATTTTTGTTGATTTGCACTAAAATAATTTTTGTTGTTTTGATTTTGTAATTGCAGGTTAATGAAAACCATTGATCCTCTCCTTGAAAGTGTCAAAATTTTTGGTTGAAGTTACATCTACTTCAAGTTACAGTGTTCAACAGACTGTATACGTTACTTTACATTACTATACATTACAATACATTAGTAGTTACATATAGTAAAATGTAGTTACATATGCATATATTTGTCTATTTTCGATTTGTATTTTATTGGTTCTGAGTTTATTTATAACAAAGATATTGAAATTTGTAAATTTTTGTTGTTGGGGTTTATGAATTTCTTTTGTATAACCCAATATTCGTGTGTGTATATAATTTAGGGGTGAGAACGGTTCGGTTCGGTTCGGTTTTAGCCATAAACCGGAACCGGGACCGAAGTCTTCGGTTCCTAAGGAACCAAAAACCAAACTGATCGGTTTCTTGCGGTTCAGTTCCTTCTCGGTCTCGGTTCGGTTTCGGTTCCTTTTCGGTTTATAAAATTTTGGGTTCGGTTGTCGGTTCGGTTTGAGCTCAT